TGGCTGCAGCTTCTCTCTAATGAGCGTGTTAGCCGGGCGCCCGCAGGCCGGATCTGGCCCACTAGCCGCCTCTTGCCCATCCCTGCTCTGGTGACGAAGTCTGCCTCTCAGCATAAATTGTTCATCATAGCACAGCAACAGCAGAAGTGACAGTGAAAGAAAGGGCTGCAGCACCCACCATGCCGTTCAACTAGGCTATCTGGCTGCAGCTTCTCTCTAATGAGCGTGTTAGCCGGGCGCCCGCAGGCCGGATCTGGCCCACTAGCCGCCTCTTGCCCATCCCTGCTCTGGTGACGAAGTCTGCCTCTCAGCATAAATTGTTCATCATAGCACAGCAACAGCAGAAGTGACAGTGAAAGAAAGGGCTGCAGCACCCACCATGCCGTTCAACTAGGCTATCAGCCAGTGAGAGATTCCTAGGCTGCAGAAGGATCGCCTTTTAAAGAAAAGAAAAGTACCTTCTTAAAGCCGCCTTCCTGTATTTCAGAGAGTTTTCCTTTTCCTTGATCCACTCCAGAGCTCAGAGTCAGGAGCCTCAAAGATAGATAGGAAAGTGAATCTTAGCAGGGTAAAGTTTCACTAATTAAAAAAAATGCATCTGGAAGGAACCGGGAGGCGGAATCAGTTGCTGTGCTGGTGTTACACAAGGGGAGTGGCATGAGGGAGGAGAAAATGCAAGCTGCTTGCTAACAGAGTTTGAGAGTGCATTCCTTCTGAGGGTCCTGACAGGGCTCATTGCTGCCTGTCTATCTCAGGAAGTTAAAGGACATAAACCTTGAGTCAATGGTCGCTTCACAAAAAGAAGAATCAATATCTCAACTATATTACTAGAAGGATAAGAACTTCTTAGCTAAGAGAGTCATGAACATTTTCAGAGTAAATATTTTCCATAAGTCAAGACATGATAACAAAACAATTGTCCTCCAGGACACAGCCAGTTCCATACTGGTCTCTTAGAGAGGACTGGTTAAAACTATATGGCTGTGTCTAGACTGGCCTCTTGATTTTGCACAAAAGCACTGACGTTCTACTGTCCAAAATCAGTGCTTCTTGCGCAAATGCTTTGACGTACCCATTTGGGCAAAAGCCCTTTTCCAGAAATGCTTTTGCACAAAAGAGCCAGTGTAGACAGCTGAAAACTGTTTTGCGCAAAAAAGCTCCAATGGTGAAAATGGCGATCGGGGCTTTCTTGCGCAAAACCGCTTCTAGATTGGCACAGACGCTTTTCCGCAAAAGTGCTTTTGCAGAAAAGCGTCCGTGCCAATCTAGATGCTCTTTTCAGCAAATGCTTTTAATGGAAAAACTTTTCCATTAAAAGCATTTGCGGAAAATCATGCCAGTCTAGACATAGCCTATGTGTCATAACATCATTTTGGGTACACATGGGTGGAACTGAATGCTTTGCATTTTTATATATTTGCATTCTCGAGAGCACCTGCTCTCAAACAGGGCACATAGAATCAGTGTCACTCTCACCCTAAGTTCTCCCTCATTTCTAATCATTTCATCCCTGTTCAGAATAAAATGTTATGTGCACAGAGGCAAGTGTAAATGTGCACTAGCAGTAGAAATAATCCCAGCTCTGGATGCCTTGCTAATCAGCAGGTGGCATTTGAATTTCCTCCCAAAAGGTGCAGTTTACAGGGATTTCCCATTCAAAGGAAAGGGAGTTATCAAACTCTCCCATGACTTGCAATTGATGTTGTGTTTGCACTTGGAAAACAAAGAGCTACACAGAGAAATTACACATGATTATGATCAATTGAAATATAGTCAGTAACAAAATGTGATGCACACTATTTAACCCCACTAAGGGTTTCGACATGTGAGGACACCAGCATGATCCAGTCTCACATATCTTCTGTGAGCTGTAAACAGAAACAAAAATGATTCAATCCTGTGAGTGATTTTTCAGGATCCCTTAAACTAAATTTAGATCTCATAAGCTGAAACTTTGAAAATATATTTAACAAGAAAGACTAAAGATAATTTAGACTTCAGTCCCTTTAGTCCTTATTAAAAAATAAGTCAAACACAAAAAAGTGCTTATTGCTGCTTTATCTTCACATTTTACCTGTTCCTAATCCTAACAGATTGTTTTCAAGACTGTCTGATGAGCAATAATTAATGATCTTTTAACTCATTGTAGCTTAACTACAGTGCTAGGGCCTATTGTAAAGGTGCTGCTCAAAGATACAAGGGTGTCTATAAATTTGTCTTTCTGAATTAGAAATAAGGGCTTGACAAATAGAAATAATAAGATGTAGTAGAGTATGATCAAACAATAAATCAACAAACCTTCCCTTTGCACCCCCTCTCTGAAAACTATGCAAATTTATTCTATTCTGACCAACAGAGACAGGTTCCAAGTCTCGGCTTTTTGCTGGAATACCTGTGCACTTTTCAGCTACATAGTCTTTTTGCTCTTTAAATGTCAAAGTATCAAATGAAGGCCATCGAAAGAGTGATCAGATTTGAAAGTGGAAAAAAACAGAACACCAGATCAAGGAAAGGGGGTGAATGTGCGATAGACACGTGAACAGATAATAAGGATAGGTATCCAGAAGGATTTCTGGCACAACTTGAAAACTTGACTTAAAAAATGTTTGCAGTGCACTTGCTGTAGTGAGTTATATCTATTTAGTGAAATACCTAGTTGAAGAAATTAGGGAGCCATTCAGCTAGCTGCTGTGGTTGGAGCTTTTGAACAGCTAATGCTGACTTCTCTAGCACTCAGAAAAGGAGGTTACTCACCTTCCTGTAACTGACATTCTTCGAGATGAGCATCCCTGGAGAACAGTGATAGAGATGCAGCCATGTTAGTCTGGTCTAGCTGAAACAAAAGCCAGGACTATGCAGCACTTTAAAGACTAACAAGATGGTTTATTAAGCGATGAGCTTTCGTGGATCTGAGGAAGTGGGTCTGGCCCACAAAAGCTCATCACCTAATAAACCATCTTGTTAGTCTTTAAAGTGCTGCATAGTTCTGGCTTTTGTGGAGAACAGGTAATGCTAAAGAACTATTTAAAGAAAGTGATGTATGAGGAGAAATCTTTGCGAGAGCAGGAGGGTTCCATCTGAAGCCGGGAGGGGGGGGACGGTAGAAAGGAACTGAAGGGAGGGAGGCCGCACACGCGCGATAGTACTAAGGGAGACTCGCGCGCATACGCAGCCCCTGATACATTACTGAGAAAAATTCGCTGAGAAGCGCTGGGGCGCTCAACACCTGATGTGGAGCACCCCCAGGGACGCCTCTCGATGAAGAACAATGCATTAAGTGTCATTATCTTGAGCAGTCCCCACATAATATATGCCATTCAAATACAATAATGGTGTGCCTAACGCAAATGCCTAGCTAGACAGACAAGACATGAGAGTATTGCACAAGTGCATTAACATGCTCTTATCTATTTGTATTTGTAAGTATTGCATAGCACTGTTCAGAGCCTTTAAGTTTAGTTTAAATATTGCTGGTTTTTATCAAAAATACACAAGTACTAACACTTTGAACAAGTAGATAGTATGTATACATAATCTAAATGATTCAGCTAAGACAATATAGGTTTGATCAGAATGAACACAGGCTGAAGTAGTCTGCTGCTTGATGGTAAGACGTATACTATAGATCGAGTTTTTGCTAAATATAGTAGAATGTGTAGCCTTTTTTTTTCAGAAAGCTTCTTTTTCTTAAGTGTAAACCATGATCTGTATTATAAGTGAAATGTCTGAGGAATGAAAACCATTGATCTAGCATTGCATTTTGCACTCATAGTAATAATGTACATTTTTAGTTAACAGTATTTGTGATGAAACCTCCCAAGGGCCAACCTGGATCAGGGGCATTGTGCTCCCTTAACTCTGTAGCCTGGGCTATCTCTGATAATGCTTTGCTAGTGACAAGCAGGAAACCCTTCCAGGCATTTTGATCACTCAGCACAAACCCATGTGGCAACCCCTCACCCAGCTCAATAGCATGAATGCTCCTGGAGCCACTTATGAATCACACAGAGGAACACAAACTCCTAGCACTGCACTCCAAACAATACCATTTTGTGATGGTCAGAAGCCTGAGAAGCAACGTTCCCTCTAATTTTTTTCCATCTGTGTGTGTAATAAATTGTGTTAAGTTCACTGAGGCATGTACAGATGTGCACTACCAATAGAAACATATGCTGCTGGCTATTGCCAGCAAGGGCTCTGTGAATCAGCTGGACAGCATTTGACTCTCTCATGGATGGCCACCCTAATACACACCTTCAGATAACACAGCTGACCAGCATAAGTTTATAATCCTCCCTCTGTTATGCTTATAAAAGCACACAGAACCTTTTTCAGGGAACAAGACAATATGTAACATTTATTTAAAATACAAAATAGATATCAGAAATCAGCATATGTATACATTCACACCACACCAGGGGTGGGCGATAAGTGGCTGGATGCAGTTTGCCAAGGTTAACCCATGGTGGGCTGCCAGATGCTTTGTTCACCTGAGATTCTGGGAGCACCACTGCTCACAGATCCTGTTGGTTGCTGTTCACCATTTCCGGCGAATGGGACTTGCAGGAAATATGAAAACCTGTTACACTAGGCCATGTTAGATTTAGCATTTTGTCACTTCACTGGGTGCTACAGTTCTTAATATACAGGCCTGCCCTTTTAAGCCTGGGCTCGGTCTCCTCAGCTGAAATCTTTGTCTTTCCAGCATTTTTGTTGCTTCCAGTGTAGGAGAAAGGAGGGGAAGGGAAGGAGAAAGGCGCCAGCGAGACACCACTGTCCCCTGTTTCATATACTCAGCCATGTGTCTGGGAGACACTAGCTCAGACATGGCTGGTGAGCCTTAATGAGTCATGGAGTTGAGTGATTCCTCTGGTGTGGCCTCGTGTAATGGAGATAATAGAGTTGAGCAGTTGCCATTGTGTGGTGCTTTCCTGCTGGAAACTCACTGGTGATAATTGTTCCACACCTGCATGGCTGTTGGTTACTTCCTTTATGATTGTCCTTTCAGAACTAACATTAGCAATTCTCAGATTTACAACACATTTCAGTGCCAACCATACAGCAGAATCCTGTACATGGCTGCATTTCTGCACCTGGTGGAGGGATCATCGTTCCTTCACTTTAGCTAATTAGATTTAGAAAGTGTAGGGATCCCTCTCACTTTGCTTACACACACATGCATTGGAATAAAGGGAAACATGGATGTAATTTACCTCTTATAACTTGGTGCAGGCACCCTCTGGGTCAGAGGCAGCAAGCAGTGTGGATTTGCTTCTCCTTAACTGTTGTGATGATGGATAGAGCCTTGCACAGATACAGAGTTTGTATGCACATACACAAAAAAGAGCTATGTATATCTGCATCCACATCTGCAAATATAGATACCCGCAAATATAAAATGAATATTCCCAGATTTGCAGGGCTCTACTGATGGATGGGGAGGAAATATGTAAAGCCTCTCCTGCACTTCCTTACAAGTACAGTATCAAACAGCAGAGCATAACCAATGAAGAAAGGAAACCGTTATTGTGTCAAAGGAGAAACTGCATCTGTAATTTGTTCCTGGGGTGGCACATCGTAAGTTCTGTCCGTTTAATAACTTACAAGCAACAATCAGTCTGGCCCGTTATTAAAATATATAG